CCCGGACAAATGGGACCGCAAGGCCCTGGGCAGATGGGACCTCAAGGCCATGGACAAATGGGACCTCAGGGACCCGGACAAATGGGACCCCCTGGAGGTTCCAACCAGATGGGACCTCAAGGCCATGGACAAATGGGACCTCAGGGACCCGGACAAATGGGACCTCAAGGCCCTGGGCAGATGGGACCCCCAGGAGGTACTGGTCAGATGGGACCTCAAGGGTCCGGTCAAATGGGACCTCAAGGACCTGGGCAAATGGGACCCCCAGGGGGTACCGGTCAGATGGGACCTCAAGGGTCAGGTCAAATGGGACCTCAAGGACCTGGGCAAATGGGGCCACAGGGAGGTTCCGGCAACCAGATGGGACCCCCTGGGCCCAACCAGATGGGACAGCCTGGGTCGCAGCCGATGGGTGGGGCCGGTCCCCAGCAGATGGGTCAGCGAGGTCCGGCCATGAACACGAATCAGCCGGGACAGCAGCCCATGGGACCCGGTCACTTCCAAGGTCAAGGTCAAGGTCACCCGCCCAGAGGGGGTGAGTCGGCTTCTGAGCTGTGTGGGTGTTGTGTTTGTGTGTGTGTGTGTTTGTTTGTGCTTATCTATAAAAGCGTTATACGTGTGTGTGTTGTGTTTGTCAGTGTGTGTGTGTTTGTCTGTGTGTGTGTGTTGTGTTTGTCGGTGTGCATTTATCTGTTTGGGCTTATCTAGGAGCGTTGCATGTGTGTGTGTGTTTGTCTGTCTGTGTGTGTTTGTCTGTGTGCACTTGTTTACATATATGCATTTATTTGTGTGATTTTTTTACCTGTGTGGGCTTATCTGTGAGCGTTTCTCTGTGTGTGTGTGTGTATTTGTGTGCGTTTGTCTTGTGTGTATGTATGTGAGCCTATTCCTAATATGAAAACTCTGTGAGCCCTTATTCTTTATATTCCACCCTTGTTCTCATTTTTCAACCCTTGTTTGTGGGCGGTTGGTGGGTGCTCTGGTGTGGTTTGCTCCTCTTTTGCTATAAAAACCTATCTCCCCTCCTTTTTTGTGTTTGTGACTCTCTTGTGACACCTCTAATCTTCGGCACTTATAGGACCTCATTGTGTTGTAAGTGCCGTAAAACTCTTACTAAAACTAAACTACCCTTGTTTTGTGTTTTTCAACCGGTATTCCGTGTTTTTGAACTCGTGTTCCATGTTTTTCAAACCATGTTTTTTGTTTGTTTTTCATTTTCCCAGATGGCTCAAGCAACATGGACAGAGATGAGAGGTTCCCTAACAGAGGTACGTTCTGCACGCAAGAAATGACAGTGCTCTCATCTAATCTTCAGCCCTTTCTTGACCTTTTTGTGTTGCCAGTGCCGTAAAACTCTTACTAAAACTATTGAACTAAAGCCTTTTATAAGATTTGAAACCCCACGGCCTTTGGCACCTAAGATGAAAATCTGTTTCGACTTTCATGGGTAGGGGTACCACTACCATATGTAAATCTTTCACTGGTTAGCTGCCTAGTGGTTAGGCTCTCGGACTCGCAACCGTAAGGTCGTGGGTTCGAATCCCGTCAGGGGCCCGACGTGTCCTTGGGAAAGGCACTTT